TATCGAATTCGAAATCGAATTTTCAAATACCGTTGGCACCCCTAATTAACAATTCTCTTGGCTTCTTTAAAAGCTGAGCTAAAGTGTCGATTGATGTAATAATTCTCTACATTTAACACCAAGGTTTTTTAAAATCGACCGAATGAACGAAATGGTCAGGAGTCCGGTTCCCGGGTCGAACGATTTGACCGTTTGAACCGAACGATCGGCCCGTTCTGACAAAAAAAAATAGTCAAAACCATTTGAACAGTTAACCGCAAGGGTCAGCGATTTGCTGACCAAAATCAATGGTTTTTGAGAAAAATCCAATTTTTGGGAACCGGTTCCTAGTTTTCCGGTTCGACCATCCGATCCAGTCTGATTTTGAAAACTATGTTTAAAACTATACTATATTGTGGATGGAACAATTTTGTTAATTTTGTGATACAGTAAATAGAACTATTATTGCTTCCGATTCGGGGAATACACTATAATTTGGTATTTATGAAAGATTTTCCCGATTCATAAAATTCGATCCGTTTGCAGCAATAAGAAAGACCACCTTGCATGGGATTGGAGAAAAGAAATAGTACAGGTCATTAGCTAAACAATTTGTGCACTACCATTTTAATAACTTATCGTTCATTCGGTAAACGTTGGTAGGGGATTTTTCTCACCAAGTTGAGATTTTATTTAGGCCCCGTTTGCTTTTCGGTAAGTTACTTAACTGGGTAAATGTAATTACTTGGGTAAGTTTTACCTAAGAAATACTTACCCGGATAAGTATATTTACCTATGTTCTTTTATTTCCTAGGTAAATAAGGTAATGACCATTTTAGCCATAAAAATCCATTACTAAAAGGGGCATTTTTGTCCCATTCAAGTATTAGCAACTTTCCCCCTAATTGGGAAAGTTATTTACCCACCTATTAGATGGGTATCACTTACCCATGAAAATAAACTTTCCCTAGTCCCCGCATAAATCTGAAAAAAGAACATAAAATTCTTGGTCAATGGAAACCAAAATCTCATTTACCAACTTTTCCCCCTCTCAAAATCCAAAAAAATAATGCCCCCTTAAGGTATAATCCATGCTTCATATAATGCCAAAATAAATTCTGTATTACATGGTGATGTTTGTGATCCAGGTCCCAACTTCTTTATAGTATTATTGAAGTATCTCCATAATAGACTTTGTAGTTCAATTTACCACTATTGGATGAAACTCAAGATATTCAATTGGAATATTAATGATATAGAGTACTTTTATGCTATAACTGAATTTAACCTAAAGCATAGATATATACATACAAATGTCCCCTGCTTTGGCACTTCTCTCTCTTATAATTCATCGTTGCATCTTGGGGACTTTATGTTGCTTTCATTCAATGAAAAAACAAGATTTTGACTTGCATTTATGCTTGGTTCTCTTGAATCATTTAAGCTATGTTTGGTTTAAAGGAAAAGGTAGGGAAAGGAAGGGAAACCAATACAAGGTTTGTAAAGGTTTTCCTACCTTTCCCTTCCTTTTCCTTCAAACCAAACATAGCCTTATGGTCTTGAATGGGTTATAGACGTAATAATAAAAAAAATGCTAAAGCTGAACGATTCAACATGTTATAGCTGGTTTCGACACGTTGCATGATGAAGATGCCTCCAATAATGGTGCTTGTGATAATCCTTAAATTTGCTTTTACTTTTAACTTTTTTTTTTTAATTTTTGGATTAGAAAAGATAAATTAGTATTTGGATTGAATCTTAATTTATATATTTAATTTTTAATATTTTTGTATTAGAAGTTTAGAACTTAAAAGTGACATTATTTTCACTTTCAAAAATCATTTCCTTTTTATTTTCAGCATCAATTTCTCTTTATTCCATTGCTAGTTAAATCAATAAGGAAACAAAACATGCAATAATCCCTTCATCTTATTCCAAATCTCTCTCTCTCTCTCTCTCTCTCTCTCTCTCTCTCTCTCTCTCTCTCTCTCTCTCTCTCTCTCTCTCACAATTAATCAATCAATCAATTGAATTATCTCTTCTCCTAAAAGTTCTCCTAAACTATCTCTCACACCTAAAACTTCCTCCTAAAACATTTCCTAACCCATACTACTTTAAAAAGCATGAATAGTTTCAAGAATATTTCTGGAATTTTTAGAAGACAAAATTTACCCTTTCATATTTAAATTTATTGATAAAAAATGAGGGCAAATAATGTAACCGGTTATACATATTAAATGAGTTGAAAAGAGGTAATTTTAAGATATTCAATGCATTCAATTTCCTTTCATTAAATCCAACATTTAAGGTATTAACTTGCATTCGCGTTCATTGAATCATATATTTAAGGCAGTTTTGTTTTTTCTCATCATTAAATTATATTAATTAAATCCATACATAACAATTTAATAATTCTAATAACATAAAATATACCTAAAAAAATAGTGTTTTCATCTAGGTGGTGGTATTAAACCATTTTGGGTCAAATAGGCCAATACATGTTGCCACAATTAAATAATAACATTCAAAAGTAGATAAAATGCAAAAAACATAGAAATTAAAAAAAAGTTGGAAATATTTTTAGCATCATATATTAAACAGTACTAAGTATGACCAATAAGAAATGTTTTTATTAATGATGGAAATGGAATGTAAAATTTAAAACAAATTGGAATTAAACCTAATTTTCATCTCTAATATTGTATATTCATTATACTAAACAAAAATAAGTATGAAATGTAAGAATTATTTTTATTAATGATGAAAATGAAATGCCAAATTTAAAATCAACCTAGAAATGAAATGACTCCATAGTCAAAATGTCAAATAATAAAATTTTTAAAATAAAAAATACAAAGAATCACAAAAATAAAAAAATAAAGGACAAATTTGAAAAATAAATCAATTTCATAAAATAGATTAGAAGGGTTTGGGGTAGCAATTCATATGTAAAAAAAAAATTGGAAAATAAATATTTCAGTCAAATTGTATGGATATTTTAGACATTTTCATACATTTTTTAGGAGGATTCTAACAAAAGGGGTCTATGTCAGAAAGTTCAAAGAAGACAATTGCAATTACTTAAACTTCAAAAAAGATTTCAACAACAATAAAAAACTTAACGAGAGGTTTCAGCAATTTAACTAGAGAGTATTTTTAACGAAAAGATAATTAATATTCACGTAATTACAGCCACAAAAAAAAAAGTAAGGGCTTAAATGGACTTCACCAAATTCTTTAACTGACTCCGCTTAGGATTCTGTAACTGACTCTACTACTGGGCCCATATGGCCCACTTCTCATTTACTCCATAATCAAATAACCTAGTGTGGATGCACGTTGATTAAGCACCTGGAAGTTTAACCAAATAGCAAACCTCTCCTACTATTATGCCCATTCTTCACGTGAAATTGGATTGTTATTGGACTCTGGACACTACCACACGTCGACCCGTGGTCCCATGCATGCAACAGATTTGATAGTTGAACAGGAGAAACCCATTCCATTCCTTCCAAATTTTGTTGTTTGGGTGCATTTTTTGGTATCGGAGATTTCGGAAAACCCAGATTTTCAGTGAAGTAATTTTGTTGTTTGGGTGAATCTGTGTTTCCCCCCATTGTTGTTCCCGACTGGGCTGTCCTCGATTGTTTGGGAGGATGCTCATGGCTTCCGGATTCATGAAATTTTCTGCTTATCATTCCCAAAAGAAAAAAAAAAAAAGAGTAAAGGACCCATATGCATCTAGTAATACAAATTTGAGTAGGAGACTGGGAGTAGAAGAGCAGGCGCACTTGAAAGGTTTACATGTTATCAGGTAGGGGTGCCAATGGACTGGCTTTGGGTTGGACCTCTTTTAAATCAAAATCAATTTTGATAGATTAAACAGACCAGTAAGACATTGAATTAGACCAGTCGAGACTTAATGGTTCAAAGTATTTATTGGATTGGACTGAACCTGGACCATCCGTAATGGATTTACATTGGATTGGGTCATATTGAACCAATATCTAGTTCATTGATAGAAGATAAGAATATAAGTATCAATGGACCAAGTTTGGATTGGAACAAATCTAAATTAAAACCAATTTGAGCAGATTAGATGGTCTAGACATTGAATTGGACCAACCCAAAATGGTCCAAAGCACTTATCGGATTGGATTAGAATGGATTCAATCAGCCGGTCCAATGCCCTATAATATCAGAGAGTCAAATGTGTAGAATTGGCAAATTAAGTTTCATGTGTAGCACAGGCTCACAGATACAAGCTCAGAGGACATGTATCCAACCACACAACCAGAAGTGGCAACAAAATTAAATAGCACCACTACAAGGTCCACAGTTTAATTTAAGAAGACCATGTTGTCGAGGAGGTGTCAAATGAGTCGATTTGTTGAAATAACTCCCCTTCGGCCCTTGTGGTTGTGGTTGTGGTCTCCACAGTTGATAAGGAGTCAACTGAAGTTAATACACTTCACTTCATAGTTCATACATCGATCGTATCTTACAAAACAAAACAGATACAGTTTGAATCGCCTAGGTCGGATTGTGATTTGTGAATGCACCTCTCCGGAATTAAGAACTGTTGTTATATCCTGGAGACTGACCGCTAAGAACCTTTGCACCTAGAGGGGTGAAATCGATTTTAGGCTATGTTTGGTTTGAAAGAAAAGGTAGGGAAAGGAAGGGAAATCTAGGAAAACCTTTACAAATCTTGTATAGATTTCCCTACCTTTTCCTTCAAACCAAACACAGCCTTAAGGACAACAGGCACTTTCCCTACCTATAAGCTTCCAATCCAATGTTCTCTTCTTTGTTTCGCACTTTTTATCTTGTCATTACGCTCATTGCTCGTTGTTTTCGTTTGTTGTAACTGTTAATACTATTGAAATATTATCTGACAATAATTATCAATATTATAAAACTATATACATTGAACAATTACATGTGATAAAATGAAGAATGGACTCCAATCACGAGGAATTGTTTTTACAAATATTGGATTCCCACCACAAGAATATGAATGGCACCATAAATCACTGCCGATGTGATTGAATGAATGAAAAAATAATGCATTTTTTCTTTTGTTCCATAGGGCTAACACAGGGGGTAGCCCATCCCCCAAAACCATAACCCCTCATCCCTGGTGAAGGCGGAATTAGATCCTAAGTCCCTGCTACAACCAGCTAGAGAACTTACCAACTGAGCCAGTTAACACCTTCAAAAAATACATGCAAGTTACCTCATGACTACTGCTATTCCTTAATACAAGTGTAACTATCGGGGTGAAAATCATGGTTTCACAGTTTCACTACTACTGATTTTGATGCATCCAGATGATTGAGACGGCATGTTCCAAGGAGGACTTCTGGTAGCTCCTCTTGTGTGTTAGCCTGCATGAGTGGCAACAGGGTTAACAAGTGACTGAACGAGCAACCTCTCATGCAAAATGTATGGTTAGTTAGTTGCAGTCTCTCTCTTCCCCGCCCCGCAGAGGGAAAGTTAAGTGGACTAACTTAAGGTTACAAGATGTTTCATCCATGTGAAACAAAGACAAATAAATGCAATAGTGGGGAGTGACACAGTCTAAGATGAAGGTTCTGAAAGGACAAAGGTGGACTGTGGAAAAAAAAGGATGAGCCCAGAAGGTGAGAACATATTTGACCAATTCATTCTTTAACAGAAGATGTTAAATGAGATTAAGAGGAACGGAAGATCTGTGCAATAACCACTGCTGGGAACTTTGGATGTGGCAGATGGTGGACAATGATAATGGTGGGGAGAAGTTTGTAAATGAGAAAAAAAATAGATTCTTTCCCTAACCTCTTCTCCATCTTCTAGTAAGGTGGATAAAGAAGTGGATAATACAGGCAATTTGGATTGAAACATGGCCTCAGTCTACCAAAGCTCCAAAACCCAACATATCTGGATTCTGCCCCTATTCAAAACCATATTGAATATCAAATCTAATACAAACTTTTGGAAATTAGACTGAAACTTTCCACATGAACAGAGAATATGACTAACATGCCAAATTCCTTAGGATGCTAAGTTGCCATGTCTAAGATTTCCATCCCACAAGAATCATTTGATTACAGAGAAAATTTGGTGTTTTTCCCCAAGACTTCAAATTCCTGTGTGGAGAGAAATGCATTTTATTTACACATATATACTTGACATGGATGGTCAGGATGTTGGAAACAGGGTTTACAGTAACAAGCTTCACATGACATGACACCCATATATAGCTATCCAGGTATTTAATGGTTTTCACATTGGCCATGAATGTGGTGCTTACAGTGTAAGAGTATTTTCCTAATACTGAATTTACAAATGATAATTACTAAATATGAATGATTATGAATGTATAGCCATTTCACCTGTATCAAAAATGCCATTTCTATTACTAGATTGTTCAGGTATCCAAGGACAAGATTGACCACTCCTCTTGCCACTGTTGATGACCCGATATCAATTCCAAGCTGAAAATTTTAGTTACGAAGAAAAGTTAGTATATGTAACATGATTCCACTTAACATTATTCAATAAATGGTCCAAATTCTATTACACAATGATGGTCCCAGCAATCTTGGATTTCAGACAGGGTAGAATGGATACAGACATAATCTTTACTTTTTTCTTTCTCGCATAAGGTGGCTGTTCTCAGATTCAATCCCACATTCTTAGACTTGTCAGCCTTGGAGTTTACCATTGCACCAAGCAATGGCCCTTTAATGAATGGTCCAGACTAAAAGCATCAAAATGTCCAAAAGGCACACAAGGCAAGCAACCGTTTGGTCATTAGTAGCATCCCACATGGTCTACTTTTACAATGGATATTATGGATTTACCTCCAAGTAGTTGTTCCCACGAAAATAGTTTATCTCAAGTGCTTGACCCACCAGGCATGCTTTCTTGCCAACACTTTGCTTTACTATCCATGGTCCCTAAGAGAAACATAACAAATAAATAAATAAAAGATGAATTGTGCATATTCTAGATTCATTTTTCAAAAATTGGTTCCATGTAGCTCATATTAATAAAAAGAATGGTGAGCTGTGAACATCTGTGTGAGTCTATGATCTGTGCGTGCACTCATGTACAAAAAGCATGGTCCTACATGGGAAGTAGGATCTTCGGAGCACAGAAATGAGGTTGGTTCAAGTTTATGGATGCACCCTTCTATGTGCTATATGTTCTCATAGGATATATGAGATTTATAGGATCTATGGTCGTCATCTATACTAATGTGCATCAAAGATGGAAACTTGGCTTATCATTTTTCATTCCCTGAGGTGGCAAAGAATATTTGACACCATTTTCCTCTTGACATTAAGTACATATAGGGTTGGGTTTCATTTGGATCACTGATAACCTGTACCATCTTTGTGCTATTTTATTATTAATAAATGCATTTGGTCTGGTTTGCAAAATAAATAAATAAATACATAAGCACATGTTTAGTTAATTGAATGGAAAACACCTTGGTTTATGGGCCTGTAGAAGCATACTTAAAAACTGTGACACCTTAATGAAGGGCTTCAGTGAGCAGTAGGGAAGAGGGAAACATCAATATTTGGATTTATAACTGGGCAACCAATTATACTCTTTGCCTTGATGTTCACCTAAACTGCAGGAATTCCCTCAATCACAACATTAAAGGAGGAGACAAAACTCAAAGTCTAGCTTAAGAAGGAAGGATGTGTAGATAAAAAAAAGGAAGAGAAAATTGAGTGAAATGGAAAAGTTAGTGTGTGGGGTGTCTTATGAAAAGGCTGAAAGCAAGAAGAGGGAGAAGAAAGGAGGCGACTAGAAGCTGGAAGTAGAAGGGGCTTACAAAGATAAGTGAAATGAAGAATTTGTGCTGGAATTTGAGGGGATTAGGTAGTGCTAAAAAGAGGAGAGTTATACGAAATGTATTAAGGAAAGAGAAACCGGAGATTGTAATGATTCAAGAAATTCAACTCTCAAATTTAGATAGAAGGTGGATAAGAAGCATTTGGAATAGCAGAGGCCAGAGGGTTGAGCTGGTCTTTTGCTCCTTCTTGGGGTGCTTCTGGTGGCATTCTCACAATTTGGAGGAATGAGGAAGTGGAATGTGTAGAAGAATTAATTGGGCTGTATTCAGTATCAATAAAAGCCAAGACAGTAAGGGATGGAAGTGGATGGGTATTAACAAATGTTTATGACCCTAACTCATATAGAGAAAGGGACTTGTTTTGGGAGGAACTTGCAGCAATTAAGGGACTGTGGGAGGGACCTTGGTGTTTGGGGGAAGATTTCAATGTCATAAGATATACAAATGAAACAAATAACCTAAACCAGACGATAACCACTAGTATGAGGAGTTTTAATGCTGTTGTAGGGTCTCTAGAGCTAAAAGAACCCCGCCTTTTGCAAGCCTCTTTTACCTGGTCCAACTTTCAGGAAAACCGAGTTTGTTCAAAGCTGGATAGGTTCCTATTCTCTGTAGAGTGGGAGGAACTTTGGGGAAACCTAGTCTCGAAAGCACTTCCTAGGGTAACCTCTCATGTGGTTGGAAGTCCCAAGATTCATTGAAAAAATAAAGGAGTGGTGGATGGAAGATGGGATCAATGCCAACAACAGAGGGGTGAGATTCATGAAAAAATTAAAGAGGTTGAAAGAAAGGATTAAGGATTGGAATAAGGAAGAATTTGGAAGAATTGAAGAAAAAAGGAATTAATTGCTAAAGGGACAGAGGAGTTAGATTGTAAGGAAGCTCAGAGAGTGTGTACTGAGGAGGAAAGATCAAAAAGATGGTGCCTAAAGGTGGAATTAAAGGAGATTCTGAGAAAGGAGGAAATTTCATGGAGACAAAAATCGGGATGTAAGTGGCTCTTAGAGGGTGGCGGGAACACAATTTTTTCACGAAGAAGGAAAAATCAAATTTCTAGTGTTGAATATGAAGGCCGGATGATAACTTCAGAGGAAGAAATTACAAAGACCTTTGTGGATCATTTTAAATCACGGTTTGCCACTGTAGGTGAAAGAATCGTGGAGTTGGAGGATCTGAATTGGTTTAGAGCATCGGAAGAGACAGTAGCCCTCCTAGAAAGGCACTTCAGTGTGGAAGAGGTTCATGAGGTAATTTTCTCAATGGAGAGATCCAAAGCCCCTAGACCTGATTGATTCTCAATGGTTTTTTTTTTTCCAGGATTGTTGGGAAATAATAAAATTTGATTTGATGGAAGTCTTCATGAGTTCCACATCGAAGGGAAGATTTCACCAGGAGTAAATGCAACCTTCAAAGCCGTAGTGCCCAAGAAAAAAGATGCCAAATCTCTGAAGGATTATAGGCTAATAAGCCTGGTGGGTAGCTTGTACAAAATCATTGCTAAAGTCCTAGCGGGACGTTTTAAGAGAATGTTGCCCTAGGTAACCTCTCAAAATCAGGGAGCCTTTGTGGAAGGGAGACAAATAATTGATCAGACTCTTGTGGCAAATGAATGTGTAGCAGAAAGGAAAAACAAGGAGGCAAAGGATTAATTTGTAAATTAGATCTAGAGAGCCTATGATATGGTGGATTGGTCCTTTCTCCTAGGTTTACTAGAGAAGGTTGGGTTGGGTGGAAGATGGAAAAAATGGATTTCTCCATTCTAAGCTATGGTGTGGCAAAAGATTTTATCCCAGCAAAAAGAGGGCTAAGGCAAGGAGATCCCATTCCCCCTTCCTTTTCACCCTGGTTGTGGTGGTGCTAAGTAGGCTGATTATAAAAGCTAACTTGAAAACCAGTTTAAAGGGTGGAGGGTAAGAAGAAATCAGGTTGTGGTAACCCACTTGCAGTTTGTGGATGACATAATCATATTTTGTGAGGACTGCTCATAATCCAACTTAAGAGATTTGAAGGTCCTAGTAGATCATTTTCAGAGTCTCAAGCAAGGTTCAAAGTATCAACACGTATCGGCCGATACATATCGTTTCAAGAGCTCCCCGGTTCTGACCGGTTCAGGGGGTGGAGGAGCCTTAAACCGCCCCCCTGAACCAGTTTTGAAAAAAAAAGTATAAAACAAAGTACCGATATGGCCCGATACGCCCCTACCGACGTATCGGGTGTATTGATATTTTGAACCTTGGTCTCAAGCCTAAAAGTCAATTGGGAAAAGAGTTGTGTGGCAAAAGTAAACTTGGAAGAGGAAGAAACTAACTTGTTAGCGCGAATACTAGGTTGTGAGGTAAAAGACTGGCCCCTAGGTTATCTGAAAATGCCTTTGGGGGGGGGGGACCTGAGAACGGACAGGTTTTGGAAACCCATAATAGAAAGATTTTCTAGGAAGCTAGCCATGTGGAAGAGGAACTACATTTCCATGGGGGGAAGAATCACTTTGATTAGATCCACTCTAGCCAACCTACCCACCTTTGGAATCCTAGTAAAAATTGCAAAGCAATTAGAAAAAATAATGAGAAATTTTTTGTGGGAACTGGGAGATGAAAAAAAAAGACCATCAACTAAAGTGGGAACAGGTATATAAAGGCAAGGACCAAGGAGGACTTGGCGTAAGAAATCTGGTTAAGAGGAATACGACTCTCTTGGAAAATGGCTTTGGAGATTTCCCCTAGAAAGTGAAAGGTTATGGCACAAGGTCATTGAAAGCATCCATGGTGTAGCGGATAATGGCTGGGATGCAAAACTAGCACCTCAGGCAACTTCTTTTTCCCCTTGGAAAACAATTTTTGAGGTACTTCCTTCTTTCCTTAATTATATTTGGTATGATGTGGGGTGTGGAAACAAAGTCCTTTTTTGGGAAGACCTTTGGCTGGGGGACCCACCCCTTAAACAACAGTTCCCTTCTCTCTATACTTTGTCAGACTATAAGACTGGTATTGTTGCCAGGTTTGGATTACTCTCAGAGGTTGGTTTAAATTGGGATTTTGGCTTTAGAAGGGGTTTGAAGGACAACGAATGTGAATCCCTAGTTCTTCTTCTTTCAAATTTGGAACAAATCTTCTTGGATCAAAATTCTATGGACAGGAGAGTTTGGTTTCCATCCCCAGATGGCCACTTCTCTTGTGCCTCCTTTTTCAACACCCTTACCCATTCAGATCCCTTGGGGGAGACTTTCCCAGTAAGAGAAATTTGGTGCAAGCCAATCCCTCCTAAAGTGCAAACCTTGTGCTGGGAAGTGATCCTTGGAAAGGTTAATACATGTGATTTGCTACAGAAAAGAAGGCCAGTTAAGTGCCTCCCTCCTCATGTTTGTATCCTTTGTTTGGCTAGTGGTGAGACCTTACCTCATCTAATAATCTCTTACTCTTTTGTATCTTACATTTGGGACTACTTTTCCTCACTCTTTGGCTGCAGATGGGAACCCCCACAAGATGTGGTTAGCTAATTCAACTCTAACTCCATGTGGCTATAGAAAAAGGGCGAAATGCTTATGGAAGGTAACAAGAGCAGCTGTAGTTTGGACCATCTAGGAAGAAAGAAATCAAAGGATTTTCAATGAGAAGAGTAGGTCAAAAGGGGAAGTAATTGAAACAATCAAAATCAGATCTGCACACTCGGTAAAAACTATTGACATATTCAAAGATATCTCAATAAATGATCTAATGAGAAAATGGAAGGAAGTGACACAGATGGGAACACATAAAGAGATTACTAAGATGGCTTGGAAACCTCCAAAATCACATAAATTGAAGCTGAACTTTGATGGCAGCTCCCTAGGAAACCCCGGGAGAGCAGGAATTGAGGGAGTGTTCTGGAATCACAATGTGGAAATTGTGGCTTTGTTCTCAGGACCAATTGGGCATGGAGACTCGGTTCAGGCAGAGACAATATCACTCCTAAAAAGACCTGAAATTAGCAGAACAATTAGAAGCCAGAGAATTGGAGGTGGAGGAGGACTCACTTCTGGTCATTGCTTGGGATAAGCAAGTAAACTCAGCACCATGGAAATACAGATTTGCATTCAGGGAGATCGATTCTCTT